CGCAAGCAGCTAAGGCGCGGCAATTCAAAGACAAAACGGCCAACAGTTAAGGCGTTATCTTCTGGTGTTACCTCCATAGACAAGCATATTGACTCCCATGTGGGTATAAGGACTTTCCTCATTATGTGCACGAGTCCCAAGACGGGATGGCTGCACAGAACTTCAGAAAGCTACGTAGGCGCAACTCAACTGTTGCCCCCCACGGTGGGGCAAGCTAAGAGCCACTAGGCGAACTGACGCCCGCAAATGCTCGACGCCCGCTTAGCGAAGTGATGAGCTCTTACGGCCGCAGCTAACAGATCTGTCTCAACATTCTCCAGAAGGCATAGGCGGAACAAGAGAAAAACAATTTTACCAACAAAAGACTGACTATCTCTGAGCGCCACTGACTCTTCGAAACTAAAAAAATTCATAAATCATATTTCTCGATTTATCAGTCAGAATCTTTCGCTTTTGCTAATCCATGTACTCCGTATGATAAAATTTGCAAACACCGTCACAGGACAGACGAAACACGTTTGTATTTCTAAAAAATATCCTTTATTACGTTGGGATCGCCATTTATTTGACCCATATTTACTTTACCAGTATAATAGGAGTAAAGAAATGGAGTCCCTGATGGTTATTAACAAATAGATGATCGAGACGATTAGGCTGAAGTTCATCGTTCGGTATTTCATAGATCGAAAGGACACTGTGGGCAAGTGACCTCTTTTATTTTTGGCTTACATTTTGATCTCGCTTGAACCGGGTAGTTAACAGACGGCTTCTTTATATGCGACGAATTGTGCCCATACAATCTCTGTTATGGTCAATAATATTTTAGACAAAGATAAAAATTACCCCATTTATTGCTGTTCATCGAGGACCGCTAAGCACCGACTATGACATCCCGTGCTACTTCATAATCTTAAGATTCCTCTGATCCTATAGGCGCTGTTATGTTTCGATTGACTTTTATCATTCCGCAAAAACGTGCACACTGAATACTCATATGATTTTACAATAAAGCCTATCATAACGGTTATTTTTTACCCTTAAGTCACCCATTTACCACTTTTTCCTCAAACAAAATTATTTAGATCTGGGATTTTCCGTTTAAACACATTAAGTGGGAAATAAAAGCCGGATAGATTGCGATGGACTCTATTGATAGGTAAGTGCTCCTCTGGTACGGTTTCCAGATCGATTGTATGGTGTTGAGAGAAGATATTGTCTCAAAAACCTCTTAACTTGTAGACAAAAAATTGTGAGCTTTTTAAATGTTATGTCTGAAAAAAAGCGCAGTGGGCAATGCTGAATATCGTAACCTTTAAGTTGCCGTTTTATATACACTGTTACGAAAATGTTCTCATTGCTATGACATTTCAAAATGATAGCATAAAAATAAGGCGTACCGGAAAGGATACTAGAGACGGAATTTGAAAAATGACTTTACTTATTGGTAATTCCATATGTTAAATTTTCAGGATAAGTTTACCACATCCATTGAGAATAACAGTGCTTGAATTATTAAGTATTGAAAACCCTGAAGAAAGTTTCACAAGCTATCGTTTTTAGAGAACACGCGATAGATAAAATATACAGCAGAAATGACAGCTCTGTTAAAACTTAAATCAGGTCGTTCAATAAGGTAAAGTGTTGTTGAACCTTAAGTCTGCTCCCTACCCTGTACTCGTTTATGTCTTAGACAGATTACAAAACATGAGCCTCTTTGACGCCACATTAGTACCCCTCAGAAAAAGGATTTCATTATTTAGAAAAGAAAAATAATGAGAAATAATATATGGTGTGGCTGTAATAAGAAATTCCCACCAGAGCGTCATTGTCGCAACCGGTGTGTAAAGATTAGCTAAGGCTTAATAAGGAGATATATCGTGTACTGTCATTTAAGTATTTAAAAGCATGTAACTGCATCTATTCTTCAACAGGACAGAGTTTATCAGCGCAAAATATTCAAAAATCATAAGTCATTTGTTAGAAAGCTATATTCAAATGTTAGTAATGGTAAACTTCAAATTATGTCACTGGTATACAGGCGAAAAATATTGAGAAGCATACGTCATAGCAGGATGAAAATTCAAATATTTAGTGTTTTTTATCTACTCATAATAAATAATTTGACCTATTCGTAAAAAAATTCGGCGGCCTCAATAGGGTTCCATACACGACCGCGAGGACATTGCTAAAGTACAGCCAACGCCCTAATCAGCTGAGTCATTGGTAAAGCGCTTACAGTACCCAAACTCTACCCTCGCTGCCTTGGGTTCGAATTCAAATGAGGTCACTATGTTTTCCAAAATTAAATTAAATGAAAATTTGAAACCCTCACAAAACTTCAACGCTGTGAAACCAATTTGCCAACTAAAATCAAGCAAGGTGTTTATAGCAAACCGACAAATTTATTTTAAGTAAATTTAGTCAGAGACCAGCTCATTGAGCAGTGTTGACTCTCATTTGTATGACAGTCCACAATGGTCTGCTGGTGATATTGTTATTGTCATCTAATTTAACGAGGTCCTTAATATTGACGCTTAGGAGGGCACAGTAGCCTCTACCCAAGTAATGTCAACCATTTAATTAATGGGCTAATGGACGGCGAGTTTGATGCTGACATCTCCAAAACTAATATATAGAGCAGACATGAATTTCATTGAGACGACCACCAAACTAATCTACGTGGCGATGTCATGACGGTAGGTAATAGTGCTGTCTATTTATGCAGCATTATATCATGCGTGAAAGACGAGTGCTTTATGTTGCAAGTGTGATCTTTGGGTTACTGTCTCAAAGGAAGGTCTTTTCGGTAAAACTCTCATACATCAATCCACTAACCCACCGGACTACTGTTAATTAAAGAAAACTTAATAGGGTTCAGTAAGGAACATGAACATTCTTGCGTGTAGTAGTTCATCGGGCGGAGGGGATAAGTAATGATAGGACAGTAAATTCTTCCCCATGCATTTCTTTTATAGAGAACCATCAAGTGAACAGCTGATGCATTGCTTGGACCCAACTGTCTTGTGCATAAGCATGCGGCTATACTACTGGATAATAGCAATACTTTTAGTCCACTATCAAAATAAATTAAATAACACTTTTTGCTGGTTTGCCCAACTTAATGTCCTTCCACCCCTGCGTCTTGTATATCTTAGGACTTTTATATATAACATTCATGCTCCAGAGGTATGCTATGCTTACGTGCGGCCGTATATTCAGTTAAGCATCCACGCGAGAGTTGTAGTTGGCTCCGTCGAATTGCACATTTAGGTTTTTAGTTTACGACTATGGCCACAACGCCGCTTCTTCATTAAGCTACTGTCCAAGATATATGGATTTTATTTGACATCCGCGATGTCTAGCAGCCTTATTAATCTATATAACTAGAAGTCGTGGGTTTTCTGACGTCACATAACTATTTTGACTTTGTTCACATACCATCACATCGAGGCCAGCTCACACAATTTGCATTAGAGAATCTTCCCACATCCCATAAAATGCGCCATGTGGCAGACGAGAACCGCTGTATCAGCGCATTCTCAGAACTGCTAGAGAGGCTACTATTCCTCCACACAAACGCCTCCAAGCCTTATAAATAAATAGTGTCCAGTCTCTTCAGTTACGGTAAGTCACAAAATAGCCCAAACGCGTGACTTAGTAAACGGTGTGTCACAACAACTGTCAAACCATATCCGCTCTCCCCACTCGGTAACCCAGGAATGAGGTTCACCGCCCCGTTTTGACTACCTTACTCCCATTCGCCGTCTCATTTATCTCATATCTTATATAGGCTGCAAATTAAAACTGCATAGCTAACCTTTCTTTTTGTCAACAACTGCCTTTGCCAATTACTCAACACCATCCTACCATAAAGCATGCGCAATGAGAGACCCGATAGAGATTAATCAAAAAGCCCGCTGACGCATGATACTTTATCAATTGGCACAGGAGGCGTTTCTCTTCGTCTGCGGACGTTCTTTCAATGGTTAACCGCAATCACATTAACTCAGTTTCTCTGGCATAAATCTTACCATCGATTGCTAGCACATTTAACAACTGGGCAGTTTGATATGTTTAAACGTTTGCCAACCATACATATGCCAAACTGCTCCCATATGTTACGGATTTTTTAAATAGGCGTCGCAGGAAATACAATACAGCTAGCTTTTTCAAAATCTATTTTGAACTCTGTAAACGTACAATATTAAAATCACGTTTTGCATAACTTTGCTTTTATAAGTTGGTCAGTAGCATGCTAAAGACAGGAAGCATATTTTGGCAGCGAAACAAACACCTTTTACAGTCCAATACTGAAGGTATTTTGATATTTGTCAAGTTTTTAAAAACGGCAAACGTTTGTCACTTATTTCATGGACAGAAAGAACTCAACCTAGCTAGGTAACCCCCTCTTACATTGCCATCCTATCGAGTAACATGCAAAGCATAATCCCTTTAAATGACCGGAATTTTTTAAAAGATGAACCAAGAGGTAGCTTTTATTAATCCGGTCTAAAGGTTTCCACGAAACCCGCAATGTCCGACGTGTGCAGTCACATTACATCAGCCTGTGCTGGGCACAAGCGCATATCACAACTATATCGATTTTTATTTTCATGACTAAAAAATCGATTTACCGCTAGGTCCTGGAGTGTCTCACAGACCTTCGAAAATGCCAGCCGACTTAAAGTGCCGTTGAGCGAGTAAATGTCACAGACGATTTTGATCTAGCCGAAATAAGATGTCTGGGACATTATGCCAGGGAGATAAGGTCTGTACGCCTGTTTAAAGATGACACGTAATGGTAGCTGCCATCCAAAACTGACTATATTATATTTGAACGTAAATTCAGCTTCGACACCTTCTTAACCCATGGTGGTCTACAAATAACCTGGTATAATTTGCTCGTGTGATTTAAAACAAAAGACCGCTTTTTCGGCAACAGGAATTTATTGTACAATTATTGGTGAAGTGGAATCTAATAGTTCATGGGGAGGACGCATTTAAGCACTCTTGAATAGGAGAATCTGAAGACCGCCGATTTCAAGAGAGATGTGCTTCTTCTTTTCGTAGGCAAAGGAGCTAGAACAAAAGAAGCAAACAGACATATATGTGGCCCTCCGCATACCTCATCTTGAGTAAGACTAGTAGAATGCAATCAGTAAAAAAGGCTTAACGGAATTGCTAGAAGAGAAAACATCATGTGAGGTGCGGAGGTGTACAAAATATTCTTTTCAGACAAGTACACAATTTTAAGCGAATTTATTGCTTAAGCATTCAAAAGATATCTGTTGTATATTTTTAAGTGTTGTGTGGGATTTTAGAATAATAGAAACCCTTTGTTGGGAAATCAACGATGACTTTTAAGATTTGAACAGTTGCAACGACTTGGTAAAAAACGTAAGTCAGACTTCGATAGAGGTAGTTAGACGTCAACTAGCAAGATATACGCACGCAAATTACCCAATAAACACAAATTAAATACCAACTGTTAAATCTGTGCAAAACGGGTGCGAGTGTGATTACAATGACATGGGAATTGACTACAAACCTGCTGAAGTCCTTGCCAACAATGCATGTCCATGAGCTGCCATATCTTTGGTCAAAGGCCTCCCGAACAGCTGTAGCAACCTCTACGGGGCTTTTGTTTCCGCAGAGAGCCTCAGCGGCCACGTCGACGGCACACTGCTGCATGGCCTCCTTCATGTCGGACTGGTTTACCTTAGCCTTGATCAAGCTCATGATGGGTCTGTTTTGACTGCTCCCCGAGAGAAAAACTTTGGCTTTGCTACCGCTGCTGACTGACGCGGAGTTTTTATAAGATTCGAGCAAATAGAGTCTGTTTGGTGGCAGCAAAAGCTCACGCGCTGCAGATCGCTGTCTAGGTGAGCTGATAGGTCGGTGTCACCTGTGGCACCAACTAGCTAGCCCGAATCGATAGTCTGATGCACACGTGGAAGGCATCTTACGGCATCAGGCTCACACTGATGCGATGTTGGCGCGTTCATCGAGCGGTACACCAGGTTTGGCTTAACATTCGTCGGTGTGCGCTCTAGCGCAGATGGCTGCTCGCACACACTGACATCAGAGCAATGTTTGCTTTTGGCGGCTTAAACGCGATGAGATTGTTTGCCTGTAGTCTCCATCGTACACCCTTTTAACGTAGCTCCCGAAAGTTAAGAGTTCTGGTGTGCCAAAGTGATTGATATAGTGCACCTATTAGTTATATACTTGTCGGTGCATTCTATCCAGAGAAAGGTAGAATGAGCAGAAAAGTAGACGATCAATTTTAGAATGATCGGTTAGTAGTAGAGATGAGCAAACCGCCCACAAATTCCAACTGAATTTTCGTCCCTTCGAATCTGATATTTTATCTATGTAATTTGTTTAGTCCTCAGCTGTCTTGCGACTGCGATGGCTAGAGAATTATCCGGCCCATGCTTAACGCCGAAAACGCATACAGGTTATCCTTGTTTGATGCTTCTGTTTTAATCAGGTATTTTTGTGAGCACGAAGGCGATCCTTTAAAGGACTTACTTTCACGGACAAAAAGTTAAATATTTATTACTGAGTGAAGGACACAAAATCGCTTATTCACAGAGAGAATGAGGTCTGAAACGCATATTGGTAGAAAAATGAATTCGCAGTATTTAGAAAAGTGCATATCAATTAAGGTTATCATAATTTCCTATGTATGTTCTAATTTGTAACTCCAAATGTGGATGCGTTTGGCATTTGTTGCTGAATCGCATGACATTTTAGTTATTTACTTTGTTCTCTCCTCTCATTGCTTTAATCGTCTTTAAAGAACGTTTATTGAATAGACCAGTCTTTCTTAGGTTGTGTGAACTCGGCGTCGCTTCAACGTTTTTTCTTAAACTGGTTCTGAACTCCCAAAACTTTTGAGAGACAGTCCTAAGGCACAACGGGACGAGTGAGTTCCGTAACACGATTGACGAATATTCCACTACCATTGTATATTGCCAGTCGCAACGGCCAGGACATCGAGCGCATGGCTCAGTGGTTAGAGGCGTCAAACTTTTCACAAACAGATCGCGGAATCATGCACCAGATGTTCCGCATATCGGAGTTGCCTATGACTGGATGACGACAAGTGATAAGCCAGAAATGGCCACTCCAGCCTCCCTTGTCCTTGTCGGTAATAGTATCCTGCCTATATTACGTGCCGTCTATGGCTGCTGACGGGGCTCTGGAGAGCGTCAATGCTCAATGGGACGAGTGATTTCCGTGGCAAGATTGATGGACACCCTTCTACCAAAGGTAAGTTGGTCAGAGGCCAGGACGGGATGATCAGGGCATTAATACCGAAAAGTGCACACACTTCGCAGTGGGAGTCTGCCGACAGAAGACTGATCCGACTTTGAAAGGCAACCAAACGGTGCGTACTTGTGCTTTGGGCCCAAATGCCAACTTCGGACTCGTGTTCCATTGTAGACCAGTCATACAGCTATTGAGGCCCGAAAGACCCGGTTCCAAATGGTTATCGATCCCAACGACCCACGATCTGAGCCTTGGTACACTGTCTGTCAAGTGCGATCGGGAAGCTTCAAGCACGCGCAGGAGTGATGAACACCGACTTGATCTGATCGCAGCACACAGAACAGCCGTTAAGCGTGGTCTTTTGACTCGTTTTTTTCCGCTCCTGAGAGTGATCGCACGGCACGGAGAGTAAAAAAACAATCAGGAAATATCACTTAGTAGACATTCTTTTGAGCTTCCCCCCACCTGGATCTCTTCTGCCGAGTTGACAAAACACTATGACGGGACCTAGGTGTATGACACACTGGCTTGAGGGCATAAAAGAATTTTCCCCATTGGGGGTTGAGGTTATGTGGTCTGCACAGATGTCGTAAGTGACGCATAAGTGGCGTGCACCGGAACATTTTGCTTATTGTCCTGAGCTTTCGAAGTCGTGCAGTCGTCCATCGTCAGAGATAATAGCAACAAAAATAACAATAAACAGAATGTTTTGATGCTTAACCGTTCTTCTTCTTCTCTCGGGTGATCTCGATTTTGCCGAACAAACACGAAATTTTGCAAGTTAGAATGCAGTTAAGGACAATAGTAGCGCGCTTCCACCAGTATGTTTACAAAGGCCAACCGTTGTTATAGCCAGTACCCGCTTTTATTGCAGATGCTTGGCTACTTGAGGAATCCGAGAGGACACATTTGGATGCAAACAAGATCTTGACACTATCTGGCGTAGCTCTGTTCGTCAATTTAACTCGATGGGAGCTAGGATACAGAATCCTTAACAGTCACCTCTAAGGCCAGTGCGATGAGAGAAGCAGGACCGTAAAGCGATGGCAATTTACCCAAGTCCCCGAATGTTATCTCAGGGCGTACTGAAGTTCAAAGAACCAAATAGGGATAGAGAAACGGAATTTATGCTCGAATCACTCTGAAAGAGCGTCTACAGGATAAGTCGCCGACATTCATAAAATATTAGACTGGGTATTTCGACGAGACCCTTGGGATTATTTCGCAGTAACTTGCGCCAGAAGTCAGCGACAGCTAACGTTTAATTTTAAAACATTAAGTCTAAAACAAAATCTTAGAAAATAATATAAACGGACTCCAAAATAAAGTTTTACTGATGGTCTTAAATGGACGGTGTGGTTAAAGACAACCCGTCTGCAGCCAGCTTCAAAGCCGATAGATAAAACATTACAAATAGAGCATCGTATATTCCAAATTATAACCCACAGGACAATATGCCGGTGGCTCAGTGGTTAGAGGCGTTGGACTTCTAACCAACAGGTCGCAGGATAGAGGCCAGGTTGTTCCACAATACGGCGGTGGATATGAGTGGCTGGCGACGTCTTATGAGCCAGAAATGACCATTCCAGTCTCCCTTGGCTTTGCTGACAATGCTATTATGCCTAGATAAAGCAACGAGCATGTTCGTTGGGAGCCCCATGATGTAATGAGTGCAGCAAAGATAATTGCACTCCAGTAAGTTATTAGAACAGATTTGTCATGGAATTTCTTGGGCGTTGCCAGTGATAGCAGACATGCATAACATCTGCCGGACTTACTCCTTCATCATTAATCCAGACCCGGTGGCAAGAGCTCATATGAGCTATGGCGCAGCGGCTGACAAAATGCGACAATCTGTCTATGCGTGCTACATATAATGAACCAGGGTTTCACCGAAGAGGCGGCTCGGAACACTCGAGTGGCCATGACAGATGAAGGGAATCACTGAACCCGAACCTAACGTCAGTCCTTCAATCACCCCGCGTACAAGTAGTATTTTGCGATGAAGATCGTGTTACATCTCCAGTTTGTGGCCTTCCAGGTTACAACTCTTACCGTGTCATGATCGACTCAAACGCGTCAGCATTGTTATAAGTTGGGGATGAGCTGTAGAGCCGTGCAGATGGAGTTCCGATAACCGACCTCATTCTTTCACCTCTCGCCCCTGTGCCAATCGGTTTTTCAAAATTTGCAGTCGTCACTTGCTGGAATTGGGCAAAGTGGCGCGTGCGACGTGAAGCCTGCTCCTAGGCGCACCACTAAAGGACACATTTCCGGCAGTGGTTATGGATTAGCGCGAACCCTGATTTCCTCGATCGACGCGTGCCCTGATCCAACCTGCGCCGTTTTAAACAACACATGTTCGACGTGGCCATTTGTAGGGGTGATTACGTGCCGCGAACGCAGTTTTATGTAGACCCACCAAATTTGAACGATAGCATACCCCGAGGTCTAGACGGCAAATGATTAGAAATCCGTTTTCTCCGTTATCTCAATGCAGCCAGCGGTTATAGTGCTACCTTCCGCCAAAACAGAGGTCAACCCGGACTAAACTCAAAGTAACGGGCAGAGCAACCCAAAGTGCAGGTACGATTACACACATTGATGTCGCTTTCTACGAATCGCTCCTATGCTCGGACTGTTCAATATTAGCACAGGTTTGAGCTAAGCATCGGACACTCGATGATTTGACTAGGTTTGTTTTATATGATGCACAACACAGAACGTGCCCCGATCGGCATTTTCGAAACGTTCGTAAACAAAATATTTTACCAATAGAAGCGAAGAGACAAGTCCCAGGAAGTAGTCTTAAAGAAGGAGACACGATCGCTGGGACAAGAGCTTTATTAGCCTGACGTTTCGGATTCCTACTCGAATCCGTCATCAGAGACAAAAAAAGCAGAAACGGGTGGTTATTGCACAAGGGACTGCGGTATTTATGGGATGCAGTAGCCATGCTACCGCATACCTATGAGCGTTCACGGCATCCCCCTTCAACCGGGATTGTCACACTTGGTGTGATCATTGCTTGATGGCCGACATTCGAGTCGATAATTACTGCAATTTCATCACATGCGTTGGATGTTGGCGCGATGATTGCTCGCCCATCTGACGCATCGACCCCGGTATTGGGAAAAGTGTTCACCTCTGCACTCCCCGCATGGCTTGTTACTCCGCCTAGAGGAAGTCTCATCACAGAATATGGAATGGGAAGATCGCTGCACTTGTTGATTGACTGGGGGCCAGTAAACCATGATTCCAGTAGCTCCCGGCTCACGCGGTTGTCACCTCTTACAAGAATTTCGGCCTCATCGAATTTAACTGTGTGGCCGGATCTCGTCGGATGAGCCGCAACTTGATAGCTAGCGTCATTTCTGCGCACCACTGCCGCGTGTTCGGCCATTCTCGTTCGGAGCTGTTTTCCGGTTTCTCCGACGTAGTTGCTTTGTCCGCAACTGCAC